GTGGAACTGTTGTCACCAGGACTGAGTAAGGGATGTATGCATAAGGTATAGAATTGCACACTATCTTTTGCCCAAGAACCTGCATTCAGCCTTATGCCTAGTGCTGGAAGGGGTGCCCTTCACAAAGAAGGCCAGGCGGAGTGGCTGCCACAATATGGCAGAGGATAGAGATTCTGGGCTCCCAAGGTGGGAGATGGGATATAGAATGAAGTGACTGGAGAAGAACCATGGAGAGTGAGGACCCTGGGAGAGAGCCCTCACCCCTTTCCTAAGTCTCCAGAGCCCCTCAGCATGGGCCCAGTGGAGGCCTGTGGTAGGCAGGCAGCCTGAAGCTGGAGGAAACAGAGAGGTAGGGATGGAAGACTGTGCCTTCTAGGACCAAGCAGTCCTCTAGCCTGGCCCCACACAGGTTCAAGGCCTCAACACCCTGCCTGCAGAGTAGCAGGTGGGCAGGAGCTAACTCCCCAGGAAGATTTTCCCCATACTCTACCCTCCTTTTTGTCCTTCTCTGGATTTGTGATTTCCTGGCTTTCCAGATGAATGACACATGACCTCCATTCTGGTACCAGGCATGCAGAAGCAGAAGGCTCAAGAAAGGAGCCCTTGCTGTCCCCAGATACCCAGGACTGGGTGTTCATGAAGAGACATGAGAGAGGCACAACATCACCTGGGAGTGCCCTCCCCCAGCAGACCTGGCTGGCAGTACCAAAGGCACCACCCAGCTGTGAAGCTCACCCTGGCATCTAAGCCTCAAAAGAAGCTTCACCAGAAGGTGCTGGGTGAGGGGCCAAAGGACACTTCATCTCCTTGTCCTCTTCTTTTTGGCTTGTAGGAATGAAGCTCCTTCTTCCCTCCTGGCCATAAAGTGGAATAGCAGATAGAAGATTGATACAGTAATCTAAACACTTTGAAAGCAGGCCTGGTTTTTATGAAAACGCTTCACAGATGTGAGATCTCTGCAGTGGGGAAACTGGCACTGTGGGCACAGGGCTCCAGGGAAAGGCAGCCCAGAATACTCATGAACATTGCAACGCTGTTACTCCATGCCACCCTCATTCTTGTTTACTTGTTTGTTGTTTTTGGAGATGGGTTGCTAATGTAGCTCAGGCTGGCCTCAAATTCCTCTTCCTCCTCCCAGTGCTGGGATTACAGGTGCATACTACACACCTGGCCCATGCCACCCTCTTTTCAGGGTACTTTCGATGCATAATGTCTTTTAAATTCCACAGCAACAGGTGCCTACGGTTATTATCATCCCTGTTTTGCAGCTGGAGAAACTGAGGCAGGGAGATTAAGCCATAGTATGTGATGGAGTCCAGGTTTGAACTGAGGACTGTAGGACCCTGTAGTCTACCATACTCAAACACTGATAGGGCATCTAGGAAATTCAGGCGCTCAGGTGGATTCCAGGCCTGTGAGGATCCAGGGAAGGACAGGCGATGGCCCTACCAGCTGTGCTTATTGTGTGCTCACTCTGCCAGGTATGTTTCTCAGTCAGTGCTCTCAACCATCCCTTGACCTGGGTGCAGTTGGTACTCCCAGTGTACCACCGATGAGACACTGAGGCAGAGCAAGGTTAGGCCAAACAGCTAGAAGGTGGCAGAAACTGGAATCAAATTCAGGGAAACTAGCTCCAGTTCCCATGGGCTTAACTACCTACCAAGTGACAAATTCTGAGGGCTTTAGATGAAGGCTGTCAAGCTTCCTATGTCTTTCCTGTGGATCTGTTGTTGGCTTGTTTATATGTGCCCTTTTGTGTACTCTCAATCTCTCTCTCTCTCTCTCTCCCCCCCATCTCTTTCTCTCTCTCTCTCTCTCCCCACCCATCTCTCTCTCTCTCTCTCTCTCTCTCTCTCTGAGCTGCTGATACCCAGTTGCTCTGCTTTGGAAATCTGAAGTAGAGGTTGGTCTATAATAATGGTCCTTGTGGTCCTGGAGAAGGAGAGGCCAGGGCTGAGCCCTTGGGAGGGAGGAGGCAGAGGGATTCTCTGACAGTCCCTAAGCCTGTGCCATATCACTTCTTCTGGACTGCCCACCCTTCTCAGTGTGCTCCAAGATGTAGGTTTGCTGCTCATCAGAGCTGGAGCATCTTTCCCACGTCCTCATCCAACCCCTTCATTTTATAGATGAGGAAACTGGGTTCAGGGAGTTTGTTGTCTGTGGTTCACAGAACAGGGACTGGAACCTAGGCCCCTGTTGCCCTGTACTGCCATTCCCTTAATGGGAGTCTGAACAGGGGTGGGGCAGGGCAGAGGGTAAAGCGTGGTCCCCTCCTAGTCTCCAGTCACACAGTGCGAGGCTTTCTCAGGGATTCACAACATGGATAAGATGACATGCCAGGTCAAGGTGATCCTAGAACAGGTCTCACAGGGTACCCTTAACCTCTCTCTTAACCTGTCCTCTGCAGGACAAAGCCCTGGAAGGATCCAGCTGGCCCAGCTTCAGAGGGGACTGGACAGGCACTCCAACCAGAAGGAACACCCTTCCATCCCTTCCCAGCCCCCTCTGGATGATACATTCCCTGAGTCATATGTTTGTCTTACATAAACACTACATGTGGCTCCCTCCCAGGATATGTGAGCAAAGGATTTATCTTTCAAGAGGCAGCTTTTCCCTGGATGGTCTTGTGCCTGAGAGAAGGCATTTGTCTTGGGATGTGGCCCCAGGCTCTGGGTGGTGGCCAGGCTTTGATCAGCAGCTCTGGGGTGACCCTTTGTCAGGGTAGTCAGTTTGGGACAGGAAGGACCACCAGCAGAATAAGGGCAGGCTTGCCTCACATCCTCTGAGATGGCGAGGGCCTTTCTTCTCTTTCCAGGACTTGAGAGGAACAGCCAGGGGTGGATAAGGACCAGGAAGCAGACAGTTCACCTCCCCATCCTCTAAGGCCTGGCAAGAGGAGAGAAAACAGTGTGTGTGTGGTGTGTGTGTGTGTGTGTTTCTAGAGGCTGCCTTGCTCTGTTCCTGGTACAGCCTTTGGGTGTTGCTTTTGGGCTCAAGGAGTGGCTGCCATTTGTCTGATGTCCTGGGAGGGACCTAGGAAAGAGGCCTGAGTGACAGGAGCCTGTGCTTCTGATCCTGATGCTGACCACTGGACATCTGAGCAGGGCAGGTGCTTCCCTCTCAAAGCTCAGTTTTCTGTCTCTAGACAAAAGAGCTCCGACCAGCTGCTTTCAGAGGTCTCCTTCATCTCAAAGGCTCTGCAGGACCCAAACCCAATCAGGACTGGTGACTTTATGTACAGTCTCCTGGGGTGGAGTTTGGTGGGGGCTATTTCAAATTGTACTTGAGATTTCACCTTTATTCCGGTATGGTGAGGCCAACAGATGAGGAGGGCATTGCCATTGAAAAGATTGATTGTTACAGCTCCCCACTGCAGGGGGCTCATCACATAGTGCCACCCAGGGAAGCACCAGGATGGCCAAGAGCACAGGGAATGAAGGGAGACTATGGGAAGAAATAGGTGAGTGGGGAGGGGACTTAGCAGGTTTAAGACAGGACAGCTTGAATCACTTGGATTATAGATTGGTCTAGAGGTTTTGATACATGGCCCTGAAGATACTGTCCTGGACTCTAGGAGCTAGATAAAGGAGGGGAGCTGGTGTGGACTCAGGATTGGCTGGTCCATGTATCAAAGGAAGCTCTCTCTAGGAATTAACAAACCCGAGGAGGAGCGGGCCATGCCAGGGTTTGCAGGGCCCCATGCTGTCAAAACAGTGTAAAATACAGAGAGTAAGATAGAAAGGCTAACACAGAAATCAGTTCAGGGCACTTTTAGCCCATAATGCCGCTGTGAATTAGAGAAAAGTACTGTCGTTGGCAGGTACAGGGCTTGGTGTGGGACTATGGGCTGGGTTTCAGTCTTCCCTAGCCCCTGAGTCAGACACTTTGGATAGTGCAGAACATAAACAGCCTTACCTGGCAGCCTTGGAAAGAAGACCAGATTTAGCCAATAAAAATACAAGAAGCCAGGGCTGGGTGTGATGGCTTAAGCCTATAATACCAGCTACTCTAGAGGTGTGGATCTAGAGGATTATTGTTTAAGGCCAGCCAGGGCAAAAAGTTAGTGAGACCCCATCTCAGCAAATAAGCCACAGTGGTGGTGCCTATGGTTACAGCTATTCAGGAGGCCACAGGTACAGGATCGCAATCCAGGCTGGGTCCAGGCAGAAACATGAGATCCTATCCAAAAAATAAGCTAAAGCAAAAAGGGCTAGAGACATTGCACAAGTGGTGGAGCACTTGCCTAGCAAGTGCAAGGCTCTAAGTTCAAACTCTAATACCACCAAAGTAAAAAAAAAAATTCTGAAATTCAAATTGAATTGGGTACCTGTCTTAGTTTAGTAAGGCTGCTATAACAAAATACCTAGTTGGGCAGCATATTAATCACAAAAATTTATTTTCATAGTTCTGGAGGGCTGGGAACTCCAAACTCAAGGTAGATTCAGTATACATCTGGTTCACAGATGGCTGTCTTCTCACTATGTCCTCATGTGGTAGAAAGGGCAAAGGGTCTTCATAAGGGCAACAGTTCCATTCATTAGGGCTCCACCCTCAGAACATAATCACTTCCCAAAGATTCCTCCTCTAAATACCATTCTCTTGGGGGTTAAGGTTTCAGAATATGAGTTTGGGGAGCACACTCATCAGACTGTAGCAGTATCCTGAATTTGATTTGGTATCCCTGGCCACTTCTGTCCTTGAGTCTCCTCTTCCAACCATACCCTATAGTAGGGTTTTCATCTTGTCCAGCGCTTACCCTAGTCAAGAGAGAGAGTGAGAATGAGAGAGAGAAAGAAAGGGGGTGGGAGGAAGAGAGGTAACGAGAACAAAAGTGACAGAGAGTGAGAAAGAAACAGAAAAACAAAAGGATACAGAGAGCTAGACAGTGGAAACAGGGCAACAGAAGCATGCTCATGTGGAGAAAGCATAGCTGCCACTGTCCCTTCCCACCTCCACACCTGCCCACCACGGTCCTCCCTCTCCTTCCTGGTCAGGCTCACCTTGGAGTAGGTGGCCCCGTTGATGACCTCTCCCTTTCGTAGCCAAATGATGGAGGCCGCGGGCTTGGCATTATCTGCGTGGCAGGTGAGGTTGAGGGGGTCTCCTGCCCGCAGACTGATCACAGGTCCCCCCAGGATGATGGGGTCATCAGGTGGTACTGTGGGGAGAGGAGCAAAGAGGTTAGGCAGGGGCAGGCCCTCACTTAGCATGATAGGCTGGGCTAGGTAGATCTTATAGAGAAGGTGACAATAATAAAGGGTGCAGGGGCTGGTGGAGTGGCTTCAGTGGTAAAAGTGTCTGCCTAGTAAGTGTGAGGCCCTGATTTCAAACCCCAGAGCCGTGCCAAAAAAAGAAACAAAGGAAAATAATAAAGGGTGCAATCCTTTAGCAGCAAAGGCACATAGTGTGTTTGGGAAGGATATTAGTTAGTCTTTTTTGTCTGTGCTCCGGTTGGTATTCTCAGCCTCGTTTCGTAGACTGGGAAGCAGTGCTCCAGGCCAAATGCTATCTGTTGTTCTTTCTTTCTAACTTTTTTTTTTGAGCAAAGCTCTGCTATTCCTCACTTAATCCTTACACCAATCTTGTGAGGCAAACACTATTATTATCCCAGTTACCCAGAGCTGAAAACTGAGGTTCAGCAGGATTAAGTGATCTGCACAGCAAATGTGTGGCAGAACCAGGACTAGAAGCTGGGCTCTTGACCTTTGGAGCAGCCAGCCTCTTCCCTTGCAGGGGACAGATTACAAGGTAACCTCTGGGGAGATTGCTCTTCAGAGCTATGCAAACCTCGGCATTGTCTGAGCATTTCACTCTTGCAGAGTGGTTCTTGCTGCCTTATCTGAGACTCATAACAAGCCTCTTCTGTTGTGTAGATTTTCCACTACACTTGGCAGTGACTGGTGGCCTGAATCCAGGGATCTGGAGTGCCAGGAGGGGAAGGGCATTGCCCAGCACAGAGTCCCACACCTGGCAGCAGCTCCATAGACATTTGCTGGCTCCAACGGGCCACCAGTTGGTCCCCATGAAGATCATGGCTGTAGGATCGGTCATTACGATGGTGGATGATTATCATTTAGTGAAGAGACCCAGAGAAGTCAAGAGACTTGCCTGAAGAACCAGCCTCTTGTGAGGCACATTGTGGATCTCAGGCCTCTGCTGCTCCCCAGATAAGCCACAGAGTGTAAGTCATGTGTGCACTCAGTGAATGAAGGGAGGTGATGACTGGGGCTTGGGACCTAGAACAGGGCATCTTCTAGTGTGGTGATTAAAGGCAGCCCATCCTTCCATCTAGGTCCTGGGCAAGCGTGCTGTGTCTTGTAGGCTTGGGAAGTTCAGAACTTGGTTCTGCTTTCCAGCCACAGCCTTTAGGGGGCTCCAGAATCAGCCTGCCTTCCTTCCCTTCTTGGGGGCATCATCTGTTAGCCCCTCTCCTAGTTTACTCAGATTTTTCCAAACACTCCACGAGAGGATAGGTCAGTACCCCAAACAGCAAATCAGACTAGTCACCCTGCCCCCACCCCTGCCTAGCCTTGGAAGAGGCCTGGCCCAGCACTAACAGCTAAGCAGTGCCATTTCCTGAGGAAACCCAACCCTGCAGGGCTCCCAAAATGTGATCACAGATCCCTACCAGCCAGCTTGGACTCCACCATGATCCTGGCCCAGGGAAGAAGTTGGCCTTATGCAACCCTGCTAGGCCTGGGCTCTCAAGCCAGGCCTCCCCAGGAGGCCCTGCAGCTGCAGGTGGGTGTGGGCCGGACAGTGAAGACAACTCTGCTCGCACCCACCCTGCACCCTCTCATTAGTGCCCATGGACTCCTTGGTAAAGGCGTGGCCAGAGAGCAAAAGGGAGGCTAATTAGGGCTTCCCATCAATGGGGGTGTGGCTAGTTGCTGATGAGGGGGATTTCATCTCCTTGTGGTAGGCTGAGCCCCTCCAGCAGGGAGAGCTGGGGTTTGGAGAGAAACATGGGTTTCACCCTTCTGAAAGTGTGGGGGTGGGTCCTGCTCTTTCTTTCCAGGGTGGCAGTCCCCTCCCCATCACTAGCACCCAAGAGACAGGAGCTGATGTTCCTGAGGGGGCTAGGGGCCAGGATGATTGGGAAGTGCCACTTGGAGCTGGAGGAGCAGAAGGAATGCCTGATCTCAGGAACTGAGGGTGGTGCCCTGGGTTGGCAGAGAATAACAGCGGGGCAGGATCTCTGTTCCTGTCAGTTTCCTCAGGTAGAAAGTATGGACATTCCACAGATGTGGAATGCTCCCTCCAGCACTGACATCTGTTGGGGTCAAGATGGGTTGGTAACCTTTTGGAGAAATTTCACAAATCTTGATGCCCAGACTCACCATGACCAATGAAATCCGTCTTTGGAGGTGAATCATGGGCACCAGGACTTTTGAAAGCTGCCCCCAGGATCCTGATGAGTGACCACATTTGAGAGCCAGCCTTCTCTGGGTTCTTTGCTCAGGTGCATAGGAGTGTTATGTATTCTGACCAAGGTGTAGAGGCTGGTGTGTGAGACCTGAGTTCTTTCTTTTTGCTTCTCCAATGGGGATATTGGATTAGTGAGAGTGGGGGATGAGGGAAGCAGAGACTGGGGCTGTGTTGTGGGAGTTTTCAGGCGCACACACACATTCACACACACAAACATCCACCCTCAGAATGGGTCCTGATTACATCTTTCCAAATAAGTGGTTATCATGCTGGTTATTCATGTAGCCATGCATTATTGATTGGCCTTCGCCTCGCTGCACACCAGATGGGGGGTTAGAAGGGGTGTGGGTAGGGGCTGGGGTGGGTGGGGGTGGGGATGGATGAGGAGGGAGGCTGTTTGGGGGCCAGCCGGCTGAATAGAAATCAGCAGTCTCTCTTGGCAGCTGTAGTTCAGATGGAAGTGGTGGTGGGGGGCGGGGGCCCTACTCATTACCTCTCCATTCAGACTGGGGCCCAGAGCTGGGGAGGCAGGGAGGGGAGGAAGTCGTGGAGCAGCCCAGTTCTGGAGATGCATTATTCATACATCCCTCTCACAGGATTGGTTATTGTCCTGAACCACTATAGAGTTTGGTCTCCTAATTTTTAATCACAAGGAAGGTGGAAGTGTTAGTCTTTTTGTGATTAATCCAGAGATAAAAATAGTTGACTGTTTTGGTGTTGTGCTTGTTGTCAGTCAGGGAAAAAATTGCATTAACTGTTGGGGGCCTGAGGCCTGGGGAAGACCTGAGTGGATCCCAGGTAGTGTCCAAAGCCAAAGCTGGAAGCCGGCCCCGGGAGGCTGGCGGGGTAAGTTGGGTGCCTTCTGGCTTCTTGGGCAGTGCTTAGGATAGGAACAAACCATCCCAATTGAAGGTCCTACTATCTGGGAGTAGGGGGCTCTTTGCAGTTTCCTCTCCTGTCATCAGAAGTTGGGCAGAAATTGGGGTCTCCCTCCCTACTGTTTCTCTCCTGTCACCTGCCCTGTGATGGGCAATGTGGACATCTGTCCCTCTGCCTGTGTGTGTGGGGAACCCCTGGAACTTTCTCTGAGCTCTACTGCCAAAGGCAAGTGGGTCTCTTATAGAGGGATGGGACAGAAAGACACCACACAGCCCAGTGTGAGAAGGAAACAGGTTAGAGAGCAAGGGGCTGGCCCAAAGTTACCAGTGAGTGAGGAGAGGATTGGAGTGGACTTGGGAGGCACATCCAGACTCCAACTAGGGAGGTAAAGCTTTAATCTTTTTTATGCACCTTATATAACAAGATTCTGCAGTACCAGTTGTGTGGAACCATTATCTAGTCTCACAGCTCTTCCTAAAAAGGCCTTGGACTTCTGGGCTACAACATGTGGCAAGGGCTCCTTCCAGCTGGACAGAGGGCTGGTGGGGCAGGATGGGAGAGCTTCAACCCTTTCTGCAGTTGCTGTTCTCTCACTGCCCTGTGCCTCATAGTTGCACAGTGTCAAACTCATTTGCCCTGTCAGTCTTGGTTTGCCAAGTTGGTCAACCTCCCCTGAGCAGCCTGAGAAAACTCTCCTGGGGCAGCATGAATAGGGTTTCCTCCAGAGTGCACTTGGTCACCCAAGTCATCTCCTTGCTGGACTTCCAGGAATTCCTCAGATGCTCCATCAACCCAGATGTTTGGCTCCATGGATGGCCATCTGCTCCAGAACTGCTGTGTGACTCAGCAGCACCAACATGGAAGGTTCCATTGCTCAGTGGCAGCTGGAGGGGTGGGGAAGTCAGCTGGGCCATCCTCCGGTTCCCAGCCAGCACAGCGGGGGAAATTCACAGACTTTCAGCCCTTTGGGGAGCAGGGTTGCTCTCCAACTAGCTAACAGTACATTCTCTACAAAGCCTGCTGTGGAGTGGCCTATTAAAAGCCTGAATCTATCCTTGCCCTTGTTCTGCCTCAAGCCCTCCAGGGGCTCCCCACTGTGCTTGGAATGCAACTTGAACTCCACAGAGTTGTCTGCCAGCACCGGCACCCATGGCCCTCACTCTTTTGCTTCCACTTCCAGACCCGGACCCCATCAGCCTTCTGTCTGCCCGACGGGACCAAGTGTCTTCCTGGTGCAGGGGCTTGCCCTTACTCTCTCTGTCTGGAATGTTCTTCCCTGTGCCATTGCTCTGCTGGCTTCCTCCTGTTCATGAGTGTGCTGCTTCAGCATCTCCTCCTCAGAAATCTCTTCCTTGACCTCCCTGTGTGACACCCCCATGCCTCTCCATGACACCACTCACTTCATCTTCTCCATCACTGGCTTCAGTTGTCCTCATACTAGAAAGGACAACAAAGACTTTATCGGTCATGGCCATCGTGAGCATTGCTCTGCCTGGATTAGTACCTGGAACACAGCAGGTGCTCAATAAGTACTTGTTAAATAATGAAAAATCCCAAACAAGAGGGGATGTGGACATTGAGGTTGGCACTTTTTATACTTGTGTGTGTGTGTGTGTGTGTGTGCAGGCACACTTGGGGGTGGGATGGGTGAGTGTTGTGGGAGGCGCAGTGGGTAAAGAGAAGACACCTCCTAGGTCTGGGTGTGTAGAACTAGCTGTGGAAGAATTCTCTGCTGTGACCCTTTCTGGAGAGAGGGAAGCCCCAGCCTGGGGAGATGTGGTGCTCAGGTGGTTCTAGACAGTTTCCTTGGTGCCCTCATGGCAGGGGAAGGAATTCCTATCTGATTTGCCT